TCCCCAACGCAAGAAGGGTACTCACTGTGGTGAGATCAGGGGTAGCTGGTCAGCAAATATGGGCCATGATGGCCAATGCAAATGAAACTTTTACTATGTTTCCACCGATGTCGTGTTTTGACGACGAAAACGTCAAAAAATTACAACAATTTTGTTCAGGGAGGTTCCCGATTTTCGTTCACCCCTCCCTGTATAGAGCTTTAAAGCTAACGTTCCCCTTGGACATTGGCGGCCTGTCTCCTGATGGCACCATCGTTAGTGAGATGGGTACAGGCTCAATGGGAGAGGCCGTCGGTGTCCTGACCCCGGCCATGTTCAGTGCAGGAGAGCAACCCTAATCGGTTCCATCATGGCTCTCTGGTTAGCAAGTGTGAATGCCCGAGGCCTGAGGTCCGAGTCTCGCAGGGCGAGGCTCTCTCGCGATCTTCAGCGTCTCGGGGTGAATATCTGTTGTGTACAAGAGACCCGTTTTTTCTTCTCGTGACTATGAGAACATTCTGTCTTGGGGTTTTCCTCTATTCAGCATGTTTTGATGGACGCTCGAGGGGTGTCTCTTGGTTGGTGAGCAAGTCATTGAAGGCTGCGTGTGTTCTTGTCTTCGCGGATCCGGCGGGCAGGCTTTGCGTGCTGGACGTTACCATAAAGGATAAGGCTCTGCGTCTCATTGGGGTTTATGCGCCCAATGTCCATTCTGAGCGGCCTGTTTTGTTTCGGCAGATCGAGCCGTTTTTGACGACATCACGTCGGGTAGTTTTAGTGGGTGATTGGAATGCCGTCCTTGATCCCGATATAGATCGCATAGGGACAAATTCGGGTACTAACATCCGGGACGTGAAACCATTTCGGAACTTTATCGACAAGTTTGATCTTGTCGATAAGTACCGGAATGAACACCCTCGGGAGGTAGTGTGGACTTGGACAAATAGTGGCGGCTCGGCTAGTTATCTAGACCGAGTCTTAATTAGGAGAGTCGATGTAGGGCTCTTAGGGTGTCCAAGTTTCCATGAGATAGTTTATACGGATCATAGGCTTGTCCGGGTCCGTGTAAACTTAGATAAGCCTAAGGTTAGGATGGCTGGCTACTGGAAATTAAACTCATCATTATTTGGTGAGCAAGATTTCCGGGACCAGCTTTACTAATGATACAGAGGGAACTGACGGGAGCGGTTGTGGGAAATGCCTGGTGGGATAAACTAAAATCCAAAATCAGAACGTTTGCTGCTGATTATAGTCGTCGGCTCAATCTAGATAGATTAGCGGCGCAAACGGCTTTAGAGCAGAAAGTTGATCGGGCGGTGAAATCCCGTGATAGTGGGGAAATAGCCTTAGCTAAGGCAGAGTTGGCCTCCTTGCTTATCAAGAAGGATCAAGCTCTGGTAGTTAGGGCTAGGTTAAAAAGAATGTCCTCTGAGGCGACGAATATGGCCGCAGAATTGCGTGCAGAGGAAGCTCGGCATGCATCTCAGCGACATATCGCGAGCGTCACATTGCCGGATAAGCGGATCGTGACAACAAACGAGGGCATATGTGAGGCTTTTCGTGACTACTTTCAGGAGCTTTTCACCAGGGAGCCCGGTCTGAGCTCTGCTCAGTTCGACTCCTATTTGGCTGACTTTCCCTGCCTTAGTGCAGCTGAAGCAGCTAGGTGCGAGGGTCCACCACAGAGTCGGAAATCTGGGATGCGTTGAAACAGGTTGGCCTGGACAAATCTCCGGGACTTGATGGTCTTCCGTACGAAGTGTACTTGAGGCAGTCGCCCGTTTTTGTTCCGCTGCTGGCACTGATTTTCGGCAACTGGATGAAGCAGGGTCTATACCCCAACGCTTCACCAGGGGCGTGATCAAGTTGTTACGCAAGAATAAAAACGGTGGGGATGGGTTAGGTAACTTTCGCCCTTTAACTATGTTAAACACAGAGTTAAAGATTTTGGCTAAGATCCTGGCTAACCGTTTGCAGGCTGTCCTGTCTAGTCTGATTGGCCCTGAACAGACTTGTGCTGTAAAGGGCAGGACTATTCAGGACAACCTTCATATGGTGCGCCTGATCATCGAGCAAGTCGACAGTGAAGCCGCGCTGATCAATTTAGATCAGTCCAAGGCCTTCGATAGGGTTGACCATCATTTTCTGGAGGCTGTTCTTTCGGCGGCCGGTTTCGGGCCGTACTTTCGCACCTGGATCCGACTTCTGTATGCGACTCCCGGTGCGCTGGTGGAGGTGAATGGGGGTACGATCGGAGCCTTTCGTATTGTCTCGCTCCATTCGTCAGGGTTGTCCGCTATCGCCTTTGCTTTACGTTCTTGCGTTGGAACCTTTCCTTCGCAAGTTAAAGGCGAATCGGTCCCACGCGGAATTGCCCTGCCCGGTGGTAGCACATCGGCCAGGTATTCCGCCTATGCTGACGACGTTTCGGCTCTTGTGTCGAGCAGAGCCGAGATTGACGAAAGTCAGCAAAGAAATCAGTTGTTATGAGATGGTGACAGGGGCCAAGATCAACCGCGATAAGTCTGTTGGCTTGCGGTTGGGTGCGTGGAAGGAGTTTCTCTTCCCGGACCTTTCCACTGGACGGATGGGCCGGTCAAGATTCTCGGCGTCTTTTTTCGGTCCTGATCTCCAGTTGGAGATGAATTGGTCGGAGGTGCGAGGGAAGGCCGAGATCGCAATTAAATTGTGGTCTCGGAGGAATCTTTCCTTAAAGGGGAGGGCGGAAGTTTGTGTTTCACACATCTACCCGATTCTCCTTTACCGACTCTCTGTGCTTCCACTTCCGTGTGACACTTTACTGGCGTTAGTGAGGCTCTTGTTCTCCTTCTTGTGGGGAGGCAAGGCTGCCAGAGTCAGTCGGGAGATCTGTTGCCTTCATCCATCTGAAGGCGGTCTGGGCATGCCGAGCATTGAGATTCGTCAACATATGCTTCGCATTAGTTTTCTGGATCGAATGTGTCGCGATTCGGATGAGGACGGCGCCTTCTGGAAGGAAGACGCCCGTAAGAACTTCCCATCCCTGAGAAGTGTGCATTCGAGCGAGGAGGAGGCCCGCCGTTTACCCCGAGCCGAATGCTCCTTCTATCGTGAATGTCGTATTGCTCTGAAGCGCCTCTTACGGGCGTCGGATGGCCTCTCCAACGTCCAGGCGTTGTCGCGTAGGGCATTATATCAAGTTTTAGTCAGGGGGCCGTGCATGATGATTTGATTGACGAGCTCGGTTTGACGAGGCAGCAGGCTCGCTCAATATGGCCTTGGGCGCCTGGGGTTGAAATGCCTCAATAACGATGAGGCATCACTCATCTGGCTGGTGATACGTAGGGCCCTCTGGGTCGCCAAGAGACTCTGCTCAGCTGGCTTGGAGAATTCTCCAAACTGCCGACGTTGTAGTGGGGAGGTCGAGACCTTGGGTCACGCCTTCTTTCATTGCAGCCAGGTAGTGCCGTTGGTCAAGTTTGTTGAAGGCCTCATGGTCCGCATGCTGCAGGGAAAGTCCTTTGTCCTTCAGTCCGTTTCCGTTTGTAGCAATGTGGCACCGCTGCTGACGAAGGCTGAACAGTATGTGTTCCACTGCTTGCTAGGTGTTATGAGAGTCGTGATTTGGACAACACGTCAGAAGGGATTCTATGGAGGCGAGAAGTTCACCTCTTCCCAACTGATCTTGTACTTTAAGCATCAGCTTAAAGTCAAGATTAGGACGGAAAGGCGGCGGCTCACTTCATCAGAATTCAGCAAAAGGTGGGTGAATCTTGCGCGCTTGTGTCGTGTGAAAAGGAGCTGACTTTGAGTGGCACATTGATGCCGGTTAGGCATCAGGATATTGCTCTTCCTGGGTTGAACTTGTGCAACCCATCCTGAAATTAGGCTAGATTAGGTTTTCCATTTTGATGATTTAGTTTTTTTTCAGTTAACTTAGCTAGGGTATGTATGCTCATTGGCCCCCTTTTTTTTCTGTCCCCATTTGTTTTTTCTTTTAGTTTAATTCCCCATCCCTCCCTAGTTAGGTGGTCAGTGATGTCAGTTCGCTGGTGGATGCGGGGCGCCTTTCGTTTTTCGTGTGAGTGTTTTTTCGTATTTGTTGTTGTGTCTGAATGAGTGCATGTCAGTGTGAGTGATTGGGATGAATGAATGGTTTATACTATTATAGTCCCGCATTGATTTCGGCCAGTGAAGTGATGTTTCTGTCACATTTAGGAAACTGTGGGGGTTTTATTACTAATCTTATTTTCTTTAGTTTCTTGTAAATAGTTTTTGTATGCATATTGTAAATACTCATTGGGGTTTATTTTTTAGAATTGTTGTTTTATTCCCCCCCCACAGACCACGAATTGTAAATATGGGGACTAGTTAGTATCTTCATAGAGACAAAGAGGTATTATGGTGGTTGTAGTAAGAAAGGTACGAATGAATGTGTTGTTTTGGTGTAAGGAATATTGTTTCATACGTTTGGGTCAGTGCTTGCGGCTAGCTAAGTTATAGTTAAGACAGAAGAAGACCGTCCTTTCCCCAATCCCCTTTTCGGCCTTGTGCCACATTTCTGTATTTTAAACAGAATAAATATCGCTTTCCTCATGGTACCTTAACCTTACAAATTTAAGTGCAGTACTAAATTGACAGTTAGGTTTTATAATTTCACTGCTGAAATTGCTGGATATAACCACAAATTCTATGCTTTTGCACTTAATTTGTGGAACTCTCTTCTGACTTCTTGCTTTGCTGTTTTAATTACAACTTTGATACAATCCACAAAACTTTAAATACAACATCAATCATCATTTTCTGTCTCCTTGAATCCTGTTCTTTTATTGTTCTCTTTCACTTTCTTTCAATCTCAGTAACCCTTTGCATCTCCCTTTGCTTGGAGTGAAATACTTAAAAAAAAATTATAATTTTGAGTCATTTTGTTAACTTATTCTCTGTACAACAAATGCTGTTTCAGCTTTCAGATTTTTTTTCTGTTTGCAAAATGTTATTTTTTATTCTCACAGTTCTATATTATTTATTATATTATTTTCCAGAAAACAGAACAAGGTTGGTGTGAAGTATTTATAGATATTGATGATAACCCAGCTTCCATCAATGACTTCAAGTTTACATTGTCCAAGTCTCTGACTCCAGCTCTAGTCTGCTTTAATGTAAGCTAGCTCCAATAGTGAGCATTTGAATAAAAATCTACTATTATTATATTTGTCAATCATTGTTTTAATATGCTGTTATGCATAGAATATTCAACTCTTACAAGGAGTTATTTGATTTAAATTTACAATCTTCTTCATTTGTTGGAGTTCTTTTTAAAACATTTTTGTCTCTGATTGATATTTATGATAACATAAATATATTAAAACATTATTTTTTTTTTTTCATTTGGATACAATTCTGAGTCAAACAGTTAAAAGTAGAGTAGGATTTATGTGTGTTTATTCAATGGCAGGCTTGGTGTTCATTGCATTTGGGTCAGTTTCTCACACACTTCTTAGAGGGACAGGTGGTAGAATGCCATACCAGGCATGACCCAGTGGGTAACCTGCAGAAAACCAGAGTTTGGTTCCAGTGGGAATATGGTTGCAAAGCTGAAACATGTTTAATCAAATGGTGGTAGTGTGTTTCAGCTTTTCAACCATAAGATTAATCTCTGGTCAGTTTATATTTCTGATAGTGTCATGAAAAAAATAAAACTTTTTGATATCTTTTAATATTTTGTTTGAATTTTACTTTTAGATTGACAAGAATGACCCAAGAGAGCACATAGAAGTTAGCCTTGAATCTGGTGCCATAATTGAAAGAATATCTCACAGAATCACAGAAAATGGAGGTTTTGCTTTAATTACTGACTATGGGCATCAGGGAGAGAAGACTGATACATTGCGGGTAATTATCAACAATTTTATCTAGCTTTCAATCTGCTATCTAAAATGGATAAACCACCTATTATCTTCAATAAATTATGACAAATATTTTTAGTTACAACTTTGGTACGTTTTTTTTGTAAATAATTTTTTAATAATAAAACCAAGAATTTTCAAATTCTTCCATTCATGACAACTAACAATGAGACAATTTTCTGTTCAATTTCAAGTAAGTTGCATAATTAATTTATAAAAGCTATTTAAAATTGTAAAAGCAACACAAATTATCTTGCTATTGAGGAAAATAATCATAAAATACCAATTTTTAAATTTTTTTATTTTCATTAGTAAGCACAATTTTCACACCAGCATTATATTTGTAACTAAAATTGTATCTTATCTTCTTTTGGTGCATATTACAGTTTGTTAGTATTTACTAATTTGCCCAATGGATGACTTTATTGTTGAATCATAATCTGGAAATGAAGAAAGCATTTCATAAGCTTCTTCATAAAAAAAGTGCTACACATATCCTGAGGACACAATTTTAACTTTTTCTAGTTAAGAACTGAAGCTCAATCTGTTAGTATTTGTGTTCATGCCTAACTGAATTGATCCTGCAATTTATTTAACACTAATGCAGTAAGGCAATAAAAATGTTTTTTTTTTTTTAATTAAAAATCCTTCAATCTTTTGTCCAAGTATGTGTACTTGGAAAATACAGAAAAGAATGCCTGTATGTTACATGCTTTAACTAGATTTTGATTATAAAATCACAAATTCTAATTCTGTATAAATCCCTGTATCTGATATTAAAGAATGTTTTATGCAAATATTTCAAAATGATTTTCTTTCTTTCTAAATATAAAAAGTTTTGTTCACTTTTTCTTTTTATACCAAAACTTATATGGTTCATCGTGTTTTTTTTTTTTTATTAATAAATATGTTTGCTAATTAATTTTTAATTCTTAGTCAGCCATGCAAAAAGAAAAAATAGTTTCTGAAAAAGATCAATTGTATCCAGGAAAAATTTTTTTAGTAAGATGTAAAATGGCTGTACAGGGTGCGATGGAGAAATTGTCATCTAAATTACGCAAAAATGGAAAATAATACTGACATCTCATTTTAACAGATATATTTACCAAAATTACGCAAAAATATTTTGAAGCACTAAAGAGTAAATTTATTCAATAAAATCACTATTGGCTTCAACCACAGCCTCCAGATGACTTCAGAATCTCCAGCAACTTTTCTGGGCTGTCTTCGTTTTTAAGTTGGTGAATGCTGCCATAATCCTTGCCTTCAGTTCATATTTGGTGTTACAAGAAGTTTTGTTAGTCTCTCAGTCAACTGTGCCCCACACATAATAATCAAGGGGATTGCAGTCTGCAGAGTTAGGTGGCCAGATGCAAGAGGTGATGTGGCTGCAGAAATTGTTTGACAGCCATGACTAGGTTTTCCCGCTTGTGTGGCATGGTGCAGAGTCCTATTACCAGACATAGTCTTCCAGCAGCCACCCTCTTGACCTAGAGCAGCACTACTTCCTCAAGGCACTTGATGTAGGCCTCCATGAGGCCCTGTGGGAAGATGAATGGAGTTCTTTTCTTACCAGAATGATCAGAGTGAGTTTTCTAAGCTGCTGTACATTCATAATCACCATTAGTCTCATCCAACTCTTTCTGACTCCTCTGCACTCAAACACTCTGAAATGTTTGTATTGGGGCTTGCAGTGCAAAATCCAAGCAGTACAACATGCCATTTCTAAATTTCTGGCAGAGTGAATTGCATCATAGTGCTCTTTTTCTCACAAATTGTACCCAACTGACCCTACTATATGTTGCAGTCAAACAAAAACAAACAAAATGAAAAATATAAAATGGCGACAATTTACCCATTGTTCCCTGTATGTCTAAACTAAGAATCTGAAATAAAAAATATTAATTTTTCTAGCATCATTTTGTAATCATATTCTTTAGAATTGCTTTTGCCATAAAACTCCAGTTTGATGTTTTTATTTATATAACTTAATTCTCAAGATTTCTACAAATTTGTGGAGCTAACAGACTCACATATGGTCATTTAATTTGTCCCTTTTGACAAATTAACAAACTAGAAAATTAATTTCCTCCAATTATTGTAAAGAACTGATATTTTTTTTCAGGGTTTCCACAAACATACAGTGCTTGATAATGTTCTGAGTGAACCTGGAAGTTCTGACTTGACTGCCGATGTCGATTTCAAATATTTATCTAAAATGGCTGGAGACAAAGGTTAGTATTTTAGAAAAATATTTTTGTGATAAGTGTTAAGAGGAACAGTATTAGAAAAATTGTCTTGGTCAATATTAAAATTAACTAGTAACTCTTTATAGATTAACTAGAAGATCTCTTGGGATGGTCAGTAAAAACTGTCTTAGAAACTTGTTATATAATTTTTAAAACAGAAAAGTATTTCTCTGTATAAATACTCTTGATTTTCTGTAAGCTTTGCAAATTTTATTAGTACAAAGCTGATTGTCAGTGTAAATAGCTGTTTTTAATGATTTTAATTAGTTTAGTATTTGAGAAACCTGTTTGACAAATTGACAAGTTATTTGTTCATCATCTGCACCGGTATTAAATTTCTCACTCAGCTTGATTTTCTTTACAATCTCAAGTTTGGAGCTAAAAACATAAAGTGAGATTTTAAAATATTCTCATCTATTCAAATGTTCATGATTGGAATAAATAATCTGAGAACATTTGATGACCAATTGTGAATTTAGTCATGGATTTATGTCCCATCTGCTGTCATTTTTAGAATGATTTTTCACATATGTTGTATTCTTAAAAAGTTAACTTTTTACAAGACAGTTCAGTTTCCAAGTTCTACTAAATGTTAGTAAATGTAAAATATATATTGCTGCTGTTGAAATTAACATTAAGTTTGTTCCAGCCGTCATCATGGTTTGGGGAAGCATAAAAGAGTCATTTGAAAATTTTAAAGTCAAATAGGGGATTAGTGTCCCAACTGCTCTCATTTTTAGAATGATTTTTCACAACTTATTGAAGTTGTATTGAACAAATGGGCAAAAAAACATAAATATGAATTTTTAAAAGAAAATTTTCATATTAATGGCACTGTTTATTTGTATGCAGAATTCCAAAATGAAAAAGTATTTGCTCCTTCAATTATTTTACTATGTATTATATCTTAGTCAAAACTTATGTACCACAATGATGGAACAAAGCTATAAGAGTAATAATCTTATTTATGAACTGAACATGTTATTATTTATACTATTTACATGCAGACTATTGTCCTCATCTTTGTTGTTTTTGTCACATTTCAGTCAATCTGCCCTTTGGCCTTCATCAGGTGTATGTCGATCTGGATAACCTAGCCTAGTGGATTAAAACATTAGTTTATTAATTTGGTGACATATTAATTGTGAGTTCAATCCCTGGGCCAGGACTCACTGGAAATTGAGTGAGTAATAACTGAGTAGTACTAAAAATAAGAATTTGATGAGATATCCCTAGGCATGGGCAAGGGAATGAGAATAGTCTAACCCCCATAGATTAAATAGTGTTCAGTTTGGAATTTTTTGTAGACTACCTGGATCGACAACAATCAGTTGAAGGCCGGGGTGGGGGGGGGATGCACAATGCCCAAAACATTATGATGGCAACAACAAAGACGAGGACAATAGTCTGCATGTAAATAATATAATGATAAATCCTCATCCCAGAAATTTAGACAGAAATGAAAATGTTAACAGAGGTCTAAAAGTGCTAATAAATAAGTGTACATTTACGCTAGTTCTGTATTAAAGGAAAAAAAAATTTACAGATTGTTGATCAGATTAAAAATAATGAGAGAACAACAGTTTATCTGATCATATTTTGCATCATTTAAAAAAAAAAAACTTTACACTGGTGATCTAGATTCATCAAATAATGTAATTGCATTGACTGTTTGGTCACTTCAGTGTGGTGTAATGGTTAGCAAGATTGTTTTGAGATCAGTTATGATTGAAAAGTGAGTTTGATCCTCACTGGGTACCCCATACTTTCAGTCTTATGCCACATCTAATCTACACTTGGAAAATTACCATTATCACTTTCACTGTTTAAATGACCAGGCAGTGTTGAGAAGTTTTATCCTAAGCATTAGTGAAATCAATTTGAAAGAACAAAAAATAATTTCAACCTATACAAATCTTCAAAGCTTTGCAGTGCAAATAAATAGTTGAAAATGAATATTGTAGGTACCTCCATTTTTTGCTAAAAAAGAGTATAGCATGATGAAAAAAGGCCCAAAACTTGATGAAAACAAAGTTTTATTGTCAAAATGTTTGTTATTATTAAGAGGAAAGACCAAAGAATTTTTTGATTATTTTATTAAATTTTTTAATCCTTTCCAGTACATTCATAATTTTGGTAAAAAATCTATTTTATTTTTTGCATTAGCAGTGAGCCAAAGATTATTATGGCATTTTAAGCACCTTTTTTCTGTTAAAATGCACATTGATTTGGAAATTCTTGCAAAAATCAAATAATTGTCAGATTTTAATGAGATTTTCCGGGTTTATTCATAAATGAATGAATTTATTTTTTAAATATTTTTTTAGAAAATCTTGATAAAAATATATTTTTTTTTTGTAATTGTTACCCCCACTTATTTAATTTTATGAAATTTTGAGAAATTAAATTTTGATTGCTAAATTTTTTTTATTAGTTAAAAGCAGAACTCCTTGGAGAATCTAAATTTTTCTGTACATTTACTTCTAAGCTTTAGTCTAAGCATAGACTTATACAGTAGGGAGATAACTTTCTTAAAGATATTCTTTATTTAGCCATTTTTTATTTAATTATTTTTTACCATGCATACTGCAATAAAACATTTTACGGTTTTGTTTTGGCCTGTTGCTGCCTGCCCCCCCCGAAATATCCCCCTTTTTATATTACATGGTAGAACATAAAAGGATTGATTTGTTGGCTAGTATGTATTTTTTTAGCTATTTTGATCATGTGAAACATCAGTTATAAAGATATAGGTTGTTTTTTCAATTTAGCAAACATGGCATGTTGCTTTCTAGATCAATAATAGTTCAACAAAACAAACTAAATTACTGTTGAAACTGTCTTTCAAGTTGTGATTTGCATAAATCTAATAGACTTTTGCAGCTGTGCTTCTTATTTCTTAGTTTATACAATTGACTCAAGTAATGGTAACGATTTAGATTACTCTAGAATTCAGTTCATTGGTGTTGTAAATATAGAATATCTGCTTACATAAAAGAAATTTCTATTATTTCAATTTGGTCTATTATGACACTAAATGCCTAATAAATTGAATGCAAAAGCTTGTGGAAATCTTTAGTCATTTATTTATTTTTCTTTTTTTTTAAACTTATAAGTAATTATAAGTATTTGTACTTGACAAACTTGATTCACCACAGATTGTTTCTATTAAAGTTTAAAATTGCATCTGATAACAAAACCTTGTACGCTTACATTTGGCTGAATTGTATGTGTATATTTTTCTCTCATTATCTTGGATTTTACCTTAAGACTTAATCTAAAAGACATTTTCATAGCCTGAATAACTGAAAAATAATTGCTCACTGGTAGCATAAGTTGGTGAGGAATATGTATATTTATTAATATACATAATAGCTCTGTTATATTACATTGAGCACTATTTTATTAACACCATGGTTTGGTTACATTCAATGAGCTTTGTCATGAATTAGGACTGTCTTGGAGTTCAGGTTTCCTGCTCATAGAGGTTGAGGAAGACATGGAAGGACTGCATTGGGGAGGGGGGGGGTGCAGCTTTGCCCACATTAACCCCTTGACAGATGCTTAGAAAGAAGTCGTGAGAGCTAGCTGACTGCTGCTTATTTCAGTCACTGGGAAACTTACAGTAGTATAATCAAAGCTCTGGATCGTGATTTGATTCAATGTGCAATATTTTATATATATATATATATATATATATATATATTTCTGTGTATAAGGTGACCTTTAGATAAAACAACATAAAAAAATATAGGAAATTTTCAGAGAGTGAAAGTAAGAGAAAAAGACTGGGTATAGGAGGGGGGGATTGAGGAAAGGATAAAAAGACGAATGGAGATTAAGGCATCAGAAGATGTCAATTGACATTTCATTTAAATTTTTGAAGCTATAATTATCTGGGAAGCAAGTTAGAGGAACAGTGAAACATTGTTGTGAAGCACAAGAGAAGAAGCTGTTGGAGTAGAAGAAGAGGTTACATTTAACTGTTTCAACAGTAAAAGGGTGGGACCGAGATGCCAACCAAGTAGAACACTTAAATTCATGTAGTCAGGGTACAAGTGAAAATAGCTCATCAGAATAGTTGTTGCCATTAAAATATTTGTAGAAAAGACAGACGGAAACCAAATCACATCTATGAGAAAGTGACTGGAATTGAGATGCTAAGTCAGGACTGATCACATTGCATATCTGTCTTTGGATTTTGTCGAGAACCTTGAGATGAACAACGGGAGCACCAGACCAGATATTGCACCAGTATTTCATGCATGGCTGACTGATAGATTTGTAGATGTGAAGGATGACCTCAAATGAGAAAAACCTTCTGGCACAACACAGACAACCAACTTACCTTGCAATAGATGCAGCTATTGATTTAATGTAGTTGTTTCACCTCAGGTCAGTGAAAAACATGAGACCAAGAAGGTGTAGTGAGATGCTCTTGTGAAGTTGAGCATCAACCATACTGATAGGAGTCAGAGAGGCTCCTCTATGGTAGTTAAATGAGAGCAGTTTTGTTTTGGAGGCATTAAAATTTATAAGCTATTTTCTGTCCCAGTCAATCATAGATTGGAGGTCCTTTTTGAGACCAACAGACAGGTTAACTTTGTCAGCAATGCCGGATTTACTATTGAGACAGGAGTAAATGGTAGTGTTGTCTGTGATGCCTACTAGAGAACAAAAGACATCAGGAAGATCATTGATGAAGATCAGAAACAGTGTAGGACCAAGGATAGGGCCTGGGTAAACACCAGTGTTCATATGAAAGGAAGAGAATTCATTCAGAATGACCTTCATTTCACAGTTTGATAGGAATGATTGATTAAATCAAATAATTGTCCTGTAAATACAGCTTATATACAAGGCTAGCAAGACAAAACCTGTCAGACGACTATGAGATATCTAAAGCCACATCTTGAGCTTCGCCATTATTATCAAGAGCTTGGTATGCATATTCAGTTATGGCCATAAGCACATCAGCGGTAGACTAAGAAAATTGGAAACCATATTGTTTGTCAGAGAGTACATCGTGAAAAGTAAGGTACATAACCAATTCGGCATTGATTAAAACCTTGAAGAGTGGTAGGAGACTGGTGTTATTGGACTGGAGGGGTCAATCCCAGCATGCAGCACTTTTGGAAAGTGCCTGAAAACCATGCCACGAGTTGACCCAAGCCTTGTGAGTGAAATTAGGTAAACGGAACCCTTGAGTACCGTCAATAGCTGTGCTTGCACAAAGTCACAAGTCACTGTGGCCAATGGCTTGAGTGTACTCACCTTGTTCAAATTGTTGGTTACACTAGATAACACACTCTTTTTCAGAAACTATAAGGTCTGCTCAACATAGTTTCAGTATAAAGCACAGGTGGGCTCTGTGGGTGTTGAATAAACACAAATGCACCTGAGCAAGCATCTGCAATGGGGATTGGCTAGCCGCCCTAGTAGACAGGTATCCTCGAATATGAGTGGCCAGCTATACACAGCGTCTGATCAAGCAGGTGAGAACCAAGGAGATGAGTGCAATTTAACTTGCCAACTTTTACCCAGGAGGGGATCTCAGCTGCACATTTTTGAACGGGATGATTAAAAACCACATTCTAAGGGATGTCACGAAGAAAATCACGGAACAAGTCCCAGTCTGCACATTGATAACAGAAAGATATTCTTTTAGTAGGGGGTTCATGGCTGGAGGGGGATTGGAAGGAGTTGTTAACAGACACTACCGCGTGATCAGAGTTGTCAAGAGGGCAGAGCTGTGTAGCATGACAGGAATCAGGGATAGAGGTAAAACAGATTGAGAAGGGAAATGTTACCATCAGGGTTACTGGGGAAACATGTAGGAAAGTCAACCACTTGCGTGAGGGATTGAGTGATTGAAAAGTTAAGGGTTTGGATGCCAGCAAATTCGTTTAGTGTTTAAGCCACATGGTATGGTGGATATTAAAGTCACCAAACATGAATATGTTTGCAAAAGGATGTAGAGAGATGGCCTTGTCTATATTATCGGAAATGCTATTTAGTACACAACAGTCTTGAGAGGAAGGGGAATGGTAGAGAAAAAAGAGATACCTTACTGAATTGAGGAGAGATAGACGGAGACACATATATGAATGGTCTGGAGAGCCCAAAGAGAGTTCCCTTGCCAGCAGTAGATTATCATGGGCATAAACTCCCAAGCCATGCCTGTGGATTTTAGAGTCCTTTCTATGGAGAGGAAGGTATTTAATGATCCTTAGAAATTCAAAATAAATGAAATAGCAAAACCAATTCTATATCATGATTTCCCTACACACGTCCCCTAAAAGAGAAACAATTTTTTTGTTTCCATTTCATCTTCTGATCTCTTGTGAATACTGATTTTCCTTGTTCTTCTATATCTAAACAGTTACAAACAACCTGGTGTGCTAATAGCCATTTACTTATACTTCATCAACGGTTACAAAATACTGCTAATTACAGTATGATAATGTACAAAAATAGTATATTCCACTTTCAATATATTTTTAATATTATGTTATCATAAATGTTATTACTGCCATAATTAACTCTACCATGATGATTATAGAAAGTTTAATGAAAGATAAAGTTTGCTGTGAATGCAGTCATAACTCATTTACATTTTCTCAGCTGAGCTTGCATGGATATAAGTTGATTTCATTGATATGGAATTATTCTTCAAATAGGCAATTTATTATGAAGTCATGCCAGTAATATATAAGGTAGAAATGGTTTTATTACTTTTATTATCAGTTTATTTGATAATGTGAATCTTTTCATATACATTATTGGTTATCGCACTGAGGCTGAGGTTAGCCTACCAACAAACAACACTCAGAATTGAAGGTTTCTTTTTTAGAATTGTAGTATTTTAAGGGTGATTTTTGGGATTTAAATTTTGTCGTATACACAGAAATATACAGTGTGTGTGTGTGTGTGTATATATATATATATATATATATATATAATGAGGTGTAATAATTTAGTTTATGGAATGTCCCTGTGAAAGAAGTTTGTTTACCTGCTCACCATTGGCAGCTGTCACCTTCAAAGCACTCCTTTTTTGAAGCTAGGTACTTTGTAAGATGATGTTGCCATTGCTGGAGACATTCTTGGAGCTTATTTTCAGGAATACCGTAGCACCTTGGTGTGGCATAACGGTTAGCAAGCTTGTCTCACTAGAACAATTACAACTGAGTAGTGAGTTCGATCCTCATTGGATGCTCCATACCTTCAGCCTTATGCCACATCTAAACAATGCTTAGAAAATCAATATTTTCAGGAATGCCTTTCAGTAATGCAGTCACATGTTCTTGGATGTTAGGGATGTTAGTAAATCTTTGTCCTTTAAGGTCATTTTTCAATTTTAGGACTAGCCAGAAATCACAGGGATCTAAATCTGTAGAATAAGGTGGATGACCAATTTTTGGCATAGATTTCTTAGCCAGGAACTTGTAAATTCCAAACACATTGTTTTTCTCATTTCCAAATTATTTGTTACCATCTGTTGCACTGTTTCCTTATTTATATTCAGTACTGTCATCCATTGCACACTTAATTTTTTATGTGAGTGCTCATGTACACTTATTTTTTATTAATATTTATAAACAATATTAATTTCTATTTATAGATGGAATATTAAAGAAATATTAAGGAACTGTTTATATTTTAATTATACTATAGAAATACTTTACAGGTCATTTTACTAAAATGAGAATATTACATCTGTTTTTGTTATACTGGAACACACCTATTCTATAGTTAATAGACTCTCCCACATATAAGTAGTAGTAGTAGTAGCAGTCACGAAGTCGCTCAGGGTATCAGCCACCACAACTAGATTGCTGCGTCATTAACTATTATATCAAGTTCCTAACGTTTTGTATGTTGAACCTTTTTAGGACCGACTTAGTGAAATACAAGCCTCCACTGTGAAACTACACTATAACAGTTTTGTTAGGTTAAAAGGATGAAATGAAAAATAAAACATTCTTTTACTGATAATACATCCAAATAATTTATATATGAAAAATATTTTTCAGTGTTAAACACTGGTATTCAGAATAGTCGTGTTATAATTTGTATATTTTTATTCAAAGTTTCAGTATAAGTTATCAAATAATTAGTTTGTAATTGCAGTAGGTAATGTCTGCTTTCTTTTTAGGAATATTAACAGGCTGTTCATAGATTCTACTAATAAAGAAAAGACTATGTTTAGTTGTTTTTCTAAAATGTTTCTAAGTATAAAGATAAATATAAAGATTTTAAAAGAATAAATAATGGAAGCTTTTTGAAAAAGCTAAAGTTTATTCTCTCTTTTTACAGTGAATGTATTTGGACCTATAAGCCAAGCTGAATTTCTTAATAACATGGGAATTGCAATCAGATTACAGGTAAGTATATATATTTTTATAGTATTATTGGTAATTGATTAGTGCTAAAGAAGTTGAGTGATAAATGTGCATATATGTATTAATTAAACAAAATCTACTGGAAGCAGCTGGAGCAGTATAATTCGGAAGCTTTTAAATGCATTTGTTGCTATTTTAAAATTCACACAATCTTTTCTTTAAATCAAATAAACTATGAAAACCAGTTGCCATGTTATGATAACACATTTCCAAAGAGATAATGTGCTTATACACTGTTAGATTTATGCAGTTTGCTTTGGGTCATCAAATGGTCAACATCTGCTTTGTGTAGAAAAATGTAAGAGGCAAAACACCCTTTACCTTTAGTGGTTCTTGGGCCTTGTACAGGGTGAACATCATTGTTAAAAAAAAAAAAAAAATCAATATAAGAATAAATCTGTATTGTAGGCAACTTTGCCAAAGAAAAAAAAAGTCTTCATTGATAATAAATCAAAATGGCACTTGTGTGAAGAATAGATTTCAGAACTTATTGACATTAAAATATTAAAATAATAGGTTTTGCTTCTAAGTCAAACTTAGCAGAGACATATTTACAGTCATGTCTTTAAATTTGCTAATATCTTTATTTGAGCAGACATTTTAAAGAACAGTCACTATTTACTAATTATTTATTTAAATATAATTAATGGTTTTACTTGATATAACCACTTTAAATGATCAATTTGTTTTCTAATTATTAATTTTCAATTTCATTCATGAAGCATTTTCTCTTAATAACTTTGGTTTTGTTCTTTGTTGGTATAGAGTTAAAATCTATATTTTCCTTAGTCAAATTCAATTTTCTTTAGTCTACGTAGTAATGTTCTTCTCTGTTGGGGGTCTCACTCGAGAGAGATATCTGCGAAGTGTTGTCAAGCTTTTGAAGGTTGTCCTGATGTTATATGGACCGCAGATCCTTTGTATTTTCTCTGAAGGATTTTTTCCTAACCAATAAAATAGACTGGTTCTTGGTTTCATATGACTCAGTCCCAGTCTGTCTTGTTTCGAAGTCAGAATGCTACATTCGCTTGTGTGAACTTGCCTTTGTGTGTCAACCCCGATTCTTAGTTTGTGAACTTTTTGCTATATTACTGTTGCTTTGCCTTGCATATATTGTTTACTTGCTTTATATTATTTTTTGCCTTATTCCTTTCTTTGTTATTGATTATTGCAAACTTTGTCAGTTTTATTTGTTGGACAGTCCTGTTATTTATTTTGCATTTAACTATGGCTACTCACTCCACAATAAGTTGATATTTGGACTAGCCTAAATTTTGACTATAATAACCAAGATGAGCATATCAATTCAAATAAATCATTGTATGATCCAGTCACACAACGAAAGGACTAAATTTTGACGAAATAGGGTACTACCATTATCTTAAAAGATACATGGATGCCTACTATTGATTAATTTTTTTTTTTTTTTTAAAGTGATAATTTTATTGTTTAAATTTCCTGCTGATGTTTTGTTTGCTTTATGTGCAGGTTCTTCTTCAGAAAGTACAGAAGCAGCAACGCAAGGACCTGATATCTGGCTACAAAATGTTGACCGAGGCAACTCAAATGGGACAAAGATACAAGTTTTTATCTTTCATGCAAAAAAAGAAAGAATCAGAATACAAACCAGCTGGATTTGTCAATCTAAATATTTAGTATTTCATTGTAAGCTCAATGAAAGATTACCACTTACACTGATAAAATCCTAAAAAATGTTACCCTTTGCAAAAAGAAGCAATGTAACACATTGTTTAAATATTTATTTATGTAACATTTTAAAAAATTATCTAATCTCTACCTGATAAATAAAATCAATAGTAACTCTTCTTTCCAGAACATTGTCTATTAAGTTGCTAAGCTGTGAAATGCAGTCTAGTTATTTTTTTCCTGTCAACTTTTTTTTTTATATAATAAATTATTTTTAAGAATAATGTAAAGGTGGCATCATACATTTTATTTGTATTTTAAGAAATTCAAAAAGAAGGTTGATGTCCCTTATTAAAACAAAAGAATTTTAAGATTAGCCTAAAATATTAGTTCTATATTTTCAGATAGTATTTATTTCTGTCTATATTTCTGAGAGGAAGTATTGTAATTATTTACATTGTTCAGACTGTTGTCCACATCTTTGTTGACATTCATGATGTTTCGGTTATTGTACACTCTGGCCTTCTTCAGGTGATTGGAATTTTGAACTGAACCCTTTATTTGGAAATAAAGGGTTGTTTAAAATTTCAATCACCTGAAGAAGGCCAAAGCATACAATGGCCGAAATGTTGTGACTATAGCAATAAAGGTGAAGACAATAGTCCGAACAATATAAGTAGTGTAAGTATTTATTTGATATTATTTTTTTGTTTTAAACATATAATTATATAATCAATATTTAAATCTAAATACTGTTTGTTTTTTTGTTTTTTTTCAATGACATTTTTTTTCATGCATTTTATATATTAACTGCTTTGTAGATGTTATTCAATGTTTGGTGTAATATTAAAGAATCTATAGGCAACATTAACTCTTTCAAGATCTAAATCACATTGTGCATGTAGATGATCTACATAAATGTTCTATAAAAAAATAATCTATAAAAGTTGTCAATTTAAAATAACTTAATTATTTTTCTTCAAGTGTAAATTTTTGAGGGTTATATTCTACACAAAATCTTAGCAGGTTGTTCCTTTAGTCAAAAATATATCCCCCAAAATTTAGTATTTTTCTTTGCTCTTCATTTGTTATCTTATTGTTTTAAACACCACAATTTTATTATTAGCTTCTAACAAAGTAACCAATATTCTAATATGGTCATTTTTCTTTGTATGCACTGTTGGCATGAATTTTTCACCACTGTATTCATTTTGCGTAAGAACTGTTAGTGTTTGTTTTTATGCTGACCAAATTACTTGCTTAAACAATTAACTAGTAAACAATAATAGGACCTGTTTGAATTGATGTGATTTGCAGAGATTTAATTACTCTAATAAGAAAACTAAAAAAAAAAAAGAGTACATATACAGTTTATATTTTTTTATATTCAAATGATATCTCTGGTCATTCTGAATTCAGTAAAATGGCAAGCATTGATTTACAATAGGAAAAAAGCTCTTCATTCTTCCCATTCTATATATGTAATTTTTATTTAGCTGTAAGCAAAACATCACATTGATTTTGGTTTTGTTTTTCTATTAACTAGATCTTTTTCTCCTAGATTAATTAAATATTTTATTATAAGATAAAACTGTACTGCTTTTATGTTTAAAGAAGTGATCATTGTTTTCACTTAACCTTTATAGCAATTTGATTCTATTTCACACTACAATTCTCTTAAACTTGAGACAAAATTAGCAACATTTCAAACATTACATATTCCTAAAAGATTAAATATTTAATGATGTTTGACTTATAACTTGTACAAAATACAAGTGCCACTTGGGACAGTCATGCTAATGGGAAATTTTTAATTATAAAGTGAGTGTGCTGGTTCAAACAAATACTCCACCAGGAATTTTTATATAACTTTAATACATATGGAACAAAAATCATACCACAGAAAAAATTACTTGAAAAATGATAAATGTGCCAAATAACAAACAAAAAAAAAACAAACTGAACACCATGCTGGGTTTGGGGATAATTGAAGGAAATTATTTAATCATGCTGGCACTTGTATTTGGTACATAAGACTAATTTTCTCTTTCTAAAATTGTGACACCTGTTAAAGCTTATCACTTTAGATCAGTGTTTCTCAATTTTTTTTACTACACTTGTAAAATAACTAAAACTCTGAGGCGCACTTTAAATTTTTAATAAGGAAAAATTAGTCATGAAGTTTGAAAATATGAAATTTTAGTTTAGCATTCTCAAAAAATAGCAGTACAGTTTTTATTTAAGTGATTATGAATTTAGTGAGGCTGATAATGACATATTTAAATCCCTGGAGGAAGGCAAAAGGACTATCCACTCCTTAAGGAATTTATTATCCAGTTTAAAATATCAAATGACAAAGACTTAGACATGGAAACCATGTGCTTGGCGTCTTTAATTCATAAATTATTCTTCTGTTGGGACACACTAGTGTTTTAGATAATTGGCATTTGTTCTTGATTTAATATAACTTATGTTTCAAGAGTTACAATTTCAGAAAGAAAACAAAAGTCGCCATTATGATTAGATTGTATGTAACTAAAATTGTAAGAAAGCATATTTTTCAAGAAAGAATTTTTCAGCTTAAACTAGAAATCTCAGGAAAAACTGAAAAAGATGATGTCAGAAATAAAAGAAGCAAAAATTTGTAATTACATATTTTTATTTATTAAGAAATTTGACAAATGGAATATGTTTCATTGAAACTAGATTTGATTATGTGTTTCACCTTTCTAAGCTTCATCAGATCAAAAACAAAAAGGAATGTATGTATGCTTAAATAACAAGTCTCAGTACTTTTTCTTAAAGCTGGTGTTCCTTGTAATTAAAGAAGAAAAAAAAATGAATGACTTTTAAAAAATCCATTAACATTTATTTTGTTTCTTTTCTTAGACCTAAAAGCATGTGAATCTTGTACTTTCCACCCTTTCTGAAGGATGGACAAGGAGTTGCCTTGGATTCATTTCAGAAAAGGCTATATAAATTTCTTTGCTTTCAAACTATTCTGAAAATGAGATGAAAATTACCTTTAATTTGATACAAAAAAAGCTAGGAAAAATATATTAACAACTTTCAACATGAACTAAGAATTATAAAGAAAAGATACAGAATAAATGTTAATGGATTTTTTAAAAATCACTCATAAGCCTAGAAAAGTAAAATGCATAATCAAATTTTTGTAATGTTGATCTTCCTACAATGGACCATTTGAGATGAACAATTTTGGGGAATTGAGAATAAATTCTGAAATATGATAAAAATGAGTGCATGAACAAAAATGGTTGTGAACCACTGATTGAAACAAATCTGAAACGTTTTCCATTTGTTAAATTTCTTAAAAACTTTCTCAGGATTTTATGTCCTATTTTAAATTCATTTTTATTTATGAAAGAAAATTGGAAGAAAATCTTGTAATACTTGTTCCTCAGGTTTATTTCTATTTATGTTATTGACTTTGTATTTGATCATTTATACTTTGATCACATTACAATACTTTGTACATGTGTATCTGTTTGATAAAGATTTTAAAAACTTGCTGATACAAATAAGATCAAGATTTGTACATTCAAGTAAGTGAGCCAGTCATGGAAGAGTGAATGATAATAAAGAGGAAAGGAACAATTTTTCTAACCAGTTCAATGAACAGGAAGGAATATTAATAAGTTATTCTTTGGAACAAACTTTACAAAGATCTTTTATAAAAAAAAAATCACATTGGAATAGGATCTAAATCAGAGGTTCTCATCCACTGGGGGAATTTAATGGGGGAACTGGGACCACAGATTGATAGATTCAAATTGTTTTAATATTGATCTTCCTACAATGGACCATTTCGGTCACACAATTTTTGGGAATTGGGAATAAATTCTGAAATATGATAAAAATGAGTACATGAACAAAAATGGTTGAGAATCACTGATTAAAACAGATCTGAATTTCAAAAGTAATACTTAATGTTGAACAATTTATATGTGCATACCTACTCAAGAATGTTAGTGAGATTTATTAAAAAGTCATCTTAAAGAGAAAACTAACTTCAAATCAAAGCAGAAAAAAGTTCTTTCTATAAACAGTAAATTTAAAAAAAACAAAAAATACTCAAATGACTACTTACAAATGTGAGATGTGTAGTATACCTCATTTGATAAAAATGCTCTTATTGTAATAAAGATATGTTGATTTTTGTCTCATGTTCAAACCTTTGAATATTGGTTCTTTTTATAACAACAAAGATTCAAACCTAAATATTGATATCTTGACTGTGGCTGTGTTTTTTTTGAGTTTTATGTACATTTTTTTTTTAATCTGGTGAAGTTCTAGGATCTTTAACCAGCCATAGTGATAATATACAGGAATCCCTCAATTAGTGTGACTAATGTGTATATCGGTAACTATAAAAAAAATAATTTTCAATTACTATGTTTAAACTGAAGAATGTTTTACTGTACTAATCAAGTATTATGTATGCACTAATTGAATTTTGGAAAATAAAAATTTTAGCGCACTAATCAAAAATGCATTAATCGAATACGCACTAATCAAGGGATGACTGTAGTTGGTTTGGATGTGACACAACTGGTGACGACAACTTGTACAAAAAGTTTTATCAGGAAAATTGTTAAGTAACCAGTTAAGACTTAGATTAGTGGTTCCCAAATGGTGTGGCACACCTTATAATTGCTGCAAAAGACAATCAAAAATTTAGAAACAGTTTCTAAAAATTCATATGTCAAAAATAAATATGATTTCAAAATTTTAAATATTATTATGGATTACTTGTAATTGCATTCATGAATCTTAGTATAAATAGTTATAAATAATTATTGGCTGATTTTATCATTGTGATATTTTTGCATTATATCAAGTATTAAGAATATAGTAACTCTGCTCAGCAAACTGAAGGAGAGAGTTATCAATGATAATGTTCTGACTTTGAATCCACAATTATCTCCCTTTAACCCTCACTCTTTTTTTAATTTTTAAATTTACTTTCTATCATATAAAATTTGGTG